TGATGAGCGAACTCCTTACTTCTTACAAAACTGTCACTTCTTGTTTTAAATAAATAAAATTGCCTCAAAAACCCACCATATGCTATTTAGAATAATAATGTGATGGCTTCCAGTGTGGAGTCGAGTCAGACTGTAAAGATCTGAAATGTGGTCATATATTTACATATACGTTTGCTTGTATTCGTGTTAATAAGGATATTGGTAAATATGTCTTGAGTTATCTATATTTTTTATTTGAAGAAACACTATGGTGCCTGCTTAAAGTTCCCAATCACTTGCAAATACTGTGGAATGGAGGGAATTGCAAGAGAGAAGGTAATCGCTCATATTATCTGTGACGGAATAAAATTACTGACTGTTTGGTGAAGTCAATATCTCTGTTTATTTTCTCTCAGTGTTGAACTCAGTGGCATTCAACACCGGTCATAGACTCGTACAATGTCATTATATTCACTGAAAATTACACTTTAAGTTTACTTGCTGTGTCCCCCTTCGCAGAGACTAAGATCACTAAGCTAGGTAGTCGCCAGGGAACGCCTCATTAATCTCTGCCACAGGTTAATTAAAATATTAATGACCGGATCTACTTTTTGCTTTGCCATGAGTCGCTCGTTGTGGGTGCCCAAAGCGACTGGCAATATTGACCAGTGGCAACGAAAGGGTTCCCCGAGGAAGTAGATGTATTGGTCCGTTGCTATGTGAGTGAAACTTTTGTAAAATGTATAAACTTTATTTTAAAATCACACCCAGTTGCATTTTATGTTTTAGAAAATTACCTAAACATCTTTTACCTATCGATTTCGTCGTTCGGTATCTTTTTCCCAAACGTCCCCGGCTCTGCAAGCACGGGTGGTAATAACATCCCCGAGTCGCCCCAGTTGTGACGTCACATAGCAGTCGAAATAAAACTAGGAAGGCGCAAAGCGTCCCGTCACCTTTCAAAATAATTACAAGAAATAAAGAACAGAAAAATACAATGAATAAAGTCACAAAAGTAGGGCATTGCCTAGGGAAGTGTGCATTGGTGATAACTCACAATTCCAGGATATAGAAATGGCTTCTGCAACACCACAACAAAGAAATACAAGAGTCTTGTTTGCTATAGACATAAATGGTCCAGATTCAGGGACACCACTTGGGTTTCCACATGAGTCAAACAGAATGTGATCTTGCTAACAGCTATGTCACGTATGCAACTCAGTAGATCATAAACATCTTTAATAACAGCACACCTGGTAGAGTCCAATTGTTCTTCCATAATTGTAAACACCCTTTGTTACGTAAATCACAAGCACACATGGTAGATTCCAACCTTCCTTCCCGAGTTGAAAACAAGTATGACCTATCAATCACCTTTATGGCAGTTAGCACACCGTTTCTTCCCGTGATTCCATTATTTGCTGGATTTGAGATAATATGACAAAATCATAGAATAAAGAATGCCTTGCATTGTGACGACAACAAATAAGTCCCCATCAATTACAGAGAATGAATAGTAATCCAATCGCTAAGTATAAAATGCTCAACTAGGCTACAAAATAGCTTAAAACTATTTTAAATTCTCTGATTCACTCTTTACATCGCACATATGTGTCTGCAATCTTGACCTCCTTTCTCTTTTCTACAGTAATTTCAATCAATGATTTAGCAGTCTTCTATACAGTTAGATTTCCATTAATACTCTCCAATGAGGCACGAAGACTTTATAATTACTAGATTTGAAACTATGTTTTGAAAAATGTTTATCTGTTAGCGTCATGCTTACAGACATAACTCAAACTTTCAGAGTCTTTCCGGTAACACTTTCACCACAGGAGGACGCTATTACACGTACCTAGTAAAGGCCTATAAAAACGATCTAAATAAAGCAGAGCAAGAATTATACAGTCGTTACATAGCTCCTCTAAATAGGTACTACCAAGGTTGTTTTATGTTTCTTGGCCTTTTTACACTCTGGCTCTCTTTAGGCACATAGCTATAGTTCTCTTCCACTTGTGCCAGCTGGAAAAATACTGTAATCTTGTCAGTATATTTACATTGTTTAACTTTCTAGGTCATCACTTTTGTTCAGTTCAGTTATTGGCAGTGGCTCTGCCTTTGATAGGAATACTGGTCCCTTCTACCATATGGTATTGTTTATCAACTCATCTGCACCTATACCTCTGGATGCCCAGGTCCAGAGAATTATCTGTTGGTATTGATATACCGCCACTGTTCTAGGGTTGTATGATCTCTTAATCTGTTGTACCCCATTCGCTACAAAAATGTGAAAACGTTTGATTCATTGGAGTTGTATTCCAACAACAACCTGCTGTCAGTTCAAAATACTCGTTATATAGTAGCTCTTTAATAGGGAATTTACTCACTAGTATTGACGTGACGGCGGAATTGAGTTCAGTTCAAATATAGGAATTTTGATCATTTTTATGATCTGCCATCACTAAGGCGCATTTTCTATCAATCGTAGATAGCTACACTGGTCATAGTCATATTGGCTTGCATCTGAAAAGTGATGCATTTCAGCGCTCTTTTGTGTACTAAAGTCCTTTGACATATAACATCTTGGGATTGTTAGCTTCTGCAGTAGTAATTCCATTTGCCACTTCTCCCATCTAAATTTGATGACATCTGGAATAAAATCATCACAATCCTTACTGTCCTTAATCAGCTCCTGTAATATCTTCTTTCCAGTTATCAGTATTGTGGATACTAAACAAAGAAGATTGTAATTAGATCTTATGGATAACAGAATACTCCTTGTGGTGAATGGTTTGTCCTTCATCGCTATTCAAAACTGGAAGGTGGCTGGAAGGTGACCCAGCACACAATTGAACTCCCAGAGTTTGCTCGATGGGGAGGTCATCATTGTAAATATCAATAATTTGTATATCCTTTGTTCATTAGTCAGGTGGAATACTATTCACAACTTTACTTTTGTTTGAGATAAGTTTGTCCCCAATCACTCTGGTTCTTTTTCTTCGCACCAAAGACTAAGTCAATGCTACATAAAAAGTGGGGTAGTCAGGAGGAACCTGGAGTCTATGGAGTTCATAGCACGACTTGATTGTCCGTAAAAGCGACCATCCGAGAAGGGCAGAATCCCTAGTTTTCCACGTCAAAAATGTTAGTGGTGCTGATCAGAGAGGCTTAGAGCAGACAACACAACCATCAAATTCCAATTGGGTGGTTCCTTTGCGGTCTAGGCCTCTGATTACAGGAAGCAGTAAACCTAATAGTATGACAACCGGCTAGCATCGTCCTCAGAGAATTCTCAATGGTGGATGACAAGGCTGACCTATAGCCAACAATCGCTGAATAGGACAAGCCCATTTCGTCAAACAGAGGGACGAAACGTCAGCTACCTGGCCAACAGAGTGATGGCATGTATCAATTTCCATTGCACTACACCAATTAGTGTACGCTAGCCATTTCGAGTTGTAGGCTGTGTTGGTAGGATCCCTGTTCACCCGAGCCAGGACGTTGGCAGCTCGCTCAGAAAAAAAACCTGAGCAAGTCAACTGAGAGCCTTGATGTGTGTAAGTGGTACACCACTGGCCTCAACAACAGTGTGCGTCAAGTTGGGACAGCAGATTGAGTAAGTCCGGAAGCTAATATTTCCTACAGTAGTGGAAACCAGATCTAGTCTGGCCCATTGGGCACCACCCGCATCAAAGTGCAGGTGCGCTCCTGTTGAAGTTTCTCCAGTACCTGGTGAATAGCGGGAAGGGAGGAATGGCGTACACGTCCATGTGGGCCCACAGGATCGACAAAACTTCTCTGGCCTAGGCTCCTGGGGTTGGCAGCAGTGTAACGTACATCAGGCATATGAGCTTAGCATTCCGGGGTGTGGTGAATAGGTCTTTAGACCATCCCATCGCAGAAACAGTATGGAAGCTACCCTTTTGGGATATCTGCCACTCTGCGCTCTGGAGACAGAGAGGACGTCTTGGACGTGCTTGACTGTTCCTCACCCCTGGAAGGTGGTGTGCAGCTAACTCCACATTGTATTTGAGGTACTAAAAAATTATTTGCTCTGCTAGGACTGACAATTATGGGGATCTGCCCCCTCCCCCTCTTTGTTGCTATAAGAGGCAACCGCTGTGTTGTCTGTGCAAAGCCTCGAACTATGGGTAGAAAGTGTATCAGTGCTAAGTGCACTGATTTCTGTTCTAGCCAGCTGATATGGCGGTCCTGAACCTAGTGCAGGGGCCATATTCCTTGGGCCATATTCCAGGTACGCTCCATAACCTGTGAGGGAGTCATAGTCGTGGCGAGTGGGACCAGGGAGACCCCCTATCTGAGGTTAATAATTGCCGACCAACAGGACAAGGCATCCCTCGCTTGGTCTGAGAGTGTTATTCGCCTCTCCAGCTCCAGTAGTTGAGCCTGGTGAGCCTGGTGCCCATACCGGGCGGCTGCATAATACAAGTTGGAAAACTACCGTGTGAACCAAGGTTATCAGTCCGATGATCTGCATTAGTTCTCGGAGGGAAACAGAGTGAACGCTGACTAGGTGCTCGACTATGTCGCTTAGTGCTAGGCAATGGGCCTATGATGGCCGTACCAGGCTCACCTCTCGAACTCAATGCCCAGGAACACCAACAGCTGTGTTGGCTGAGGATGGGACTTTGCTTGATTTACTAGGAAGCCCAACTGATGTAGTAAATCCTGTGTTAGCCTTACTGTTCGGCTAACAACCCCTTGTTTGGGTGGTATAGCAACCAGTCGTCTAGGTATGGTTTGATGTGTACTGACGCCCCGTGCAGCAGTAGCACCACCTGTTTGTACATTCTTGTGAACACATATGGAACCATGCAAAACCAGAAGGGAAGCACCCTGTACTCAACTACTTGGTCCAAATGGACAAATCGAGGAAGTCACTGACATAATGGGTGTATCGATATGTGTGGGTAAGCAAGTCCACCGAGGCTAACAAGTGGAAGCACAGCACAGAGAGTAAAACGGTGCTCGGTGTTTTCAGGAAGCACATACTTATTTAGTCTGCTTAAGTCCAGAACTGGGTGCAACAACTTGCAAGTAGAAACCCGGACTTAACACCGGGTCCTCTATCCTGTGCATAGCACCCTGTACGCAAACTGTCTTCCGCTTGGCGGGGATCCCCTGGTAGTGCCCAGACAGGGGGCTGTTGACAGAGGGTGGAGATTGGAGCATAATCGTGTAACCATGTATTACCAGCAGGCGAGTCCAGGGGTTGGTTACTCGCCGTCTCCGATCCGGAATACACCAGCACAATCTGTGCGACAGAGATATGGGTTCGGCAGTTCAACATTGGGCGTGATCTCTCCTCCATCAAAATGAGACCCCACGAGGCCTGTAGTCGATAGGTTCAGACTCTGCCTCCCGCCGAACATATGCCGCAAACGGAAGCGTCAAACTTGCTTCCCCTACGAGCTGGGTGGACCACCACCTGGACCCTTCTTCCTGGGGGCGCACCTCCACTCTTCCCTCCCTTGGAAGAGCCGGGACACTTGCCTCTGTTTACCTCTTGCCAGTGGATGTCGACTTTGGTTGTTACGTTTTCTCAGCTTGGGGTCCTTTTCGCTTGCCCTTGGCAGAAGCCAAACTGGCTTTTGGGTCTCACCTGTACCAACTGGTCGTTGGGATAACGAAGCTCTGAGACTGCTCTTTCCATCCTCAACAAAATGAGGGTGGGGGAGGTCCAGTCTGCACAACTGAGGCGGTGAAGTGCCCAGTGGAAACAGCCAAAACCACATCTCGCTGTCAGAGGCAGCCCCTGTCATGAGAGCCAGATGACACTGCAAGATATCCTGTGCAGCTGTGTGGTGTCCCACCAATGGCTGTGTATGCTGGACGAGGAGGCTGGTGCGTTTCGCCTTTGAGACTTCAGAGTGCTGGAGATGCAAAACAATGCGTTCTAGTGGGCTGGCCACAACTCAAAAGTTGAAGGTCCCCACTCTGCTCTCAGGGCGTAGATTGTTTCTGACTGAACTGCCGAAATATTCATGAACGAGGCCGTCACCCTTTGCCCGTCCCACCAAACCAAAAAAAATCGTGGGAGAAACCAAAGGATCCGGTTGGGGTGTGAGATTTGGCTCAAGACTCTGTTGGTGGCTCCAGTCTCAAATACTGCATTGATCAGGTAGTGCTTGGTGCAGCGGAAAGGGTTTAGCATGAAATTTCCCCACCCTAGGGATATAGGCCTGTATTCCATGGAGGACCGAGGTCCGCCCTTCAACACCGTCTGAGCGTTCCCACTGCATCCAGCACTCTGTCAGACTAGGAGAGATATGCAGGCGGTGTTCTGGATCCCGGAAGCAACAGCACTACCGAGAGTGACTGCTTCAGGATTGAGGGTGGGAGTCGAACATCAGGTCACTAGGATTGATGTTCCCCACATCACCCCACGACGTGGCTCACAGAGCCGCACCTGCCTAATCGGTTATCCCTCTTATGGGCAGGCAGGTCCCCTCTGGGGGCGTCTGTGGGTCCTCAAAGGTAGAGTGACTTCAGTGGAGGCAACCTGCTTCCCCTGCATTTGGTTTACTCAACCTGCAATTAACGCAATTTGTCTCACCAGGTCCTTAACCAAAGCCAGAATCTCATAGGCAAACCCGGCGTCGTGCGAGGACGGATCCACAGAGGGACCCGCAACAGGCCCCATATGAGTAAAAAACTCCAGGGGCACAGCCTTGCTGTTGCCGGTACAAGCGGGCAAAGTGCCACCTGCAGAAGCAAACTGCGAGGAAGTGTCACAAGGCTTGTTTTCAGTTAATTAATAATGGTAGCCAAATGAGGACCATAAGACCTTGCCTTGTGTTGTGGGTTCTTTACCCATTATTGGGGTGACCAGGTTTGGAAATATACACAAATTCGACACACACGCTTGCAATGACAACACGAAGATATATAAACTTTCAACTCAATATTTAATAAAACAACTATAAATAAAAGGGGAATAATACAAAGCGGGCATATACGGAACGACTGATATATACGCACAGCTCCAAGCTCCAGTCACGAGTGAAAAGTGACTGGAGTATGTGGAGCCAAAAGTAAGAAAAATATGTAAAATTTAACAAAACTATTTGGTGTTTCAACTAAGTGAACCGTTCATACCACAGTT